CCACCCCCCCCACCCTCCCCTTCCACACGTGCTAGAACCCCCCAGCCACCCTCCCCCACACCCCTACACCTATCAACCCCACACACACATCCATACCCACAGCCCCCCATAAGCCCTGTACACACCCATCTGTACCCCCCACACTGCTCCATACCCTCCCCCAACAATATACAAAAGTAAGACTTCATTTTAAGCTATTATGCAATCATGTGTATATACACTACACAAACACACATAAATCAAGACATAAGTAGTTTTGGAATCAAATTAAAGCATGTTGTTTGATTTTTTTTTATTATTATTATTATTATTTCATTTTTATTTTTTAAAGAATACAACTTGTTTTTTTCCGGTTCCAATATGGCAAACCCCATTGCCAAAAGGATTACTTTCAGGGGTAAGGAGAGGGACTTCCAGTAGAAAGGTCAGGAGTTAGGGGGCAGGACTTCTGATTCCAAGATAGCAACCAGGGGGTGGGACACCTGTCAAGGGCTGCCCTTTGACAGCTCGCCAAAACTTGTAAGTGGCCCTCCAGCTGAAATAATTGCCCATCCCTGTAGTAGAAACTTAGGCCCAGTGTAGAGAATTCCCAGTTTTGTGTATTTTATATTTTCCTTCCATTTCCTTAGTGTTGAAATTGCTCCTTTTTATTTATCCTTGGAATCTCTGAAGGATCTATAGCTTTTTTCTCTTTTTCCATCACCTCCAAATTTGATCCAGTTCAGCAAAGAACTTAATTGATTAAGCAACTGAGTAGTCTTGCCAGGTAGTTTTACTGAGCATTTTTACATGTGCTTGGTGATGTGGTGCCAGGTGCTTTAATTAGTGAGTCACACTAATTAAAAGCGCCTGTGTGTTGCATGTATTAGCGTCCCTGCATGTACCTGCACTGAAAAAATGTTGGCAGCGCACTTTGAACTAAAGCTCATCAAACATATTTTGTTTCAAAGTGCTGTGCTGCCATTTTTTTAGCGCGGGGACACATGGGAATGCTGATACATGTGATGCGGAAGGCTGCCAGAGCACTTCAATTTCCGTGCTCCAGCAGACTCAATTAATTGTCAATTAAGAATCAATTATCAATTAATTGAGTCTGCTCTGATGCGCTGGATTTCCAATGCGTTGGAGTAGGCTCCTCGCCCGTCTACAGGAGTCCATTGGTAGGGACCTACCTAATTTGTGGTGGAGAATATGGGGTGCGACAGCCATTCCACAGGCAGAGCGGAGCAGACCCTTCCCCCCATGCCTCTAGCCAAAGGGCCCCGGTGGCCCTGCCCCTTGCTGCTGATTGACTGCAAGAGCTACTTGTCATGTGGCCTTGACCCTCACCACTGATTGGAGAGTGGTGGGGCCATGTGACAGGCTTCCCTTACAGCCATGCAACCTTGCTGAGTGGTGCATAGCAGATTGGGGAGGTGATGGGTAGTTCAGTGGCAGATAGGGTAAGGAGCAGAAAGCAGAGCAGCAGGCCAGGCAGGGAACAAAGAGAGAGAGTGAGCACAAGAAAACTTTACAACTGGTGTTTAGAACACACTATTTTTAATGGGTAGTGAGAAGAAGAAGATTTTATCCAGATTAACCAGAACTCAAGAGCCAAATGCTTAGTAGTAGAGTAGGTGGCTGCCCTTCAGTAGGTTTGGGTTTGGAAGCTATTCTGAACTATCACTTTGTACAGTTGGGCATAGGCTGTAGAGGTTGAATAATTGTTTGCAAAATCTACATGCAAATATATCCTTTAAGTGCCTCCTGCTGGCAGCCTAGGTGCCTCCCTTCCCATTATCTTTCCTACCAATGAGAGGAATGTGATGAAAGTGGGCACACAGAAAATGGTACATTCAGAGTTACTACACACATTTAATAATTTAGAGCACTACTGTATCTCTGCTGATTTTTGCATCATTCAGAGATGATAAAGGAACAACCTAGGTTCCAGGTGAAAATATGGGTGGGATCACTGCCAAACCCCAAATTATTATTTTTGAAAACAGCAAGCTTTAATGAACAGGAAAAGAAGCAGGGAACAAAACCCATACTTTAACATCAACAAATAGTATAACTGATAGCAGAACAACAGATGCTTAGTAAACTTCAAATAAAGTACTGCAGAGGCCGGTTTCGGTGACATTCCAGTCAGTCTTGCTACATCCAGTTTATTTGCTTGAAGTGTTTTTTGGTGATAATTTCTGGGGGGGGGAAGGGGAAATTGATTAGAATTGTAGACAATGAGGTCACTGGGTGCATCTACACGAGACACTAACTTCGCAATAGCCTAATAACACTGCAGTAGCATAGAGGGCAAAACCCCTGCTAATACGCTACTGTGCAGTGGTATTAGGCTACAGCACAGTTCGCATCACTAAAAGGCCATGTGTCGGTGCTACTGCGCAGTAGCGCCACTTACTGTGCGCTGATTTAGTACTTGGTTATGCAAATACTAAACATGCACAGTAACTACGGCGCATTAATGAGCATGTAGACACATTCACTGTGTTCTTTACTAATAACTTTTTGAACATCAAAAACCAGTGTTTACAGTCTGCTCCCTATCTCCTAAACTGAATACACTCCTAGTTATGAGAGTGACTTCTTTAGCAATGGTTCACATTGTACCTACCCCTTCCTTCCTCCTGACGAATCCAGATGTGCTAAGAATCTTCTCCCTGTAGCTTAAAATCCAGCACAACATTTTCTCCTTCCCTTTCTGCTCCTAACAACACGGGGATTAATACTGACAGCAAGGCAAGAAACCAGATAAAGATCTGTATAGAGCATGGACATGGCTACAGCTTTCTGCACAGATGTCCGCTGTGTTAGGCTGGGCTGTGGCTGTGGGGATATGCTCTGCATGCTAGAAGTGATACAGCAGATCTCGTCTCTACTTGGACGCTCTCAGTGCTGCTGAAATGTGCCCGCTGTGAGCACGTTCCTCCTGCAAGCTGCTGTCCCTGCACAGCTCCAGCTGCCCTACCCATCAGACAGACACTGTTGCTTCTTCACTCTTTTATTTAAAAAAAATATATTTAAAAAGACCATATCATGTACCAGGAGACCAAATGAAAATGAGTTTGTTTACAAATTGTATCATAAAACATTCTGTACATAATGAAGTGTATAATGTTCCCAAACCTTCCCAAATCAGCTTTTAAGATCATAATAGTAGCATTGCTATGCTTAAAGTTGTTTCAGCGCTTCTATTAAGTATCTCATTTCAGGGGTTTAATCTCACTCTGTGACTTATACAGCCTGGGTAATTGTAGTATATGAGCATCTTCTTATTATTCCAGGCGTAGCTTGGAAGCATATGTTTTTGTTCTCTAATTCTATGGGTGTGGGCACATGGCACATTTACACAAGCATAAGTGACACTGGTGTCTGGGGCAGATAGGTGATCAGCTCTCCAGAAGGAGCTGCCCCCAGGAGGCACTGTTACAGCATCTCGTCTCTGGGTGGTGAAGGAGCTGGTAGTAATAGCCTGTCAACAGTGAGCAAAGAGTTGCCCTGAGGCTGTCACGGAGTAGTGCTGTGGACAAGTGATCCATATGCTAGTATAACACAACACTGGTGTACACTACAGTGACTCCTGACTTTTCTAATGCATAACTTCACCTGCAGTGGAATGATTTACACTGGTGTAGAGCTGTATGTCATGTCTGCCACACGTTTACACTGATGTAAAGGCAATTATACTGGTATACATGTGTCACGTGTCCCCAAAGTATCAAAGAAATAGAAATATGTATTTTGAGGAGGTTTATCTTAATAGCACCCGCTCAGTTAATGGATGAGGTACAAGAAGGTCCCAGTCCCTCCAATGTAACTGCTTATCTTAAGGGATTCTTACTCACTGTGAAGATCAATGTGCAAAATCCATAAAAGCCATATCCTGTCCCCAGTGACAGCTTTATCCCCAGTGGAACTGGCACCCTCAGTCAGACCAAGGACTCTAAAACACATCTTTAAAAACCCTTCATGACTAAAAAGGAGATCCCAAAGTATTTACCTGAAATGTATTTTTTTAATCTACTTTATTCAATAAAACCCTAACACACACATTTTTAGACTCCAGGCACCCCTTGGAAAATGCCAGCTTTCCGTTCTCTCATTCGTTATTTGACTACAGAAAAGCAATAGAGCAATTTTTCTGTTGCAAAGAACTTGGAAAGATCGCAGCCAGTCGGAAGGTTTTTAACACTGTGGATCCCTGTGTGAATCCTGTTTTCACACCTAACAGTTCTAACATTGCGTGGCACCCCACGGCAGCCTGGAAAGGATCTCGAGGCATCCTGGGTGAGACTCACTGCTGAACATTTAAAGTGATAAATATTCATGAAGAACAAAATTATATTTAATAAATAAAAACTGCCAACCAAAAAGAGTGGAAGTTGGGGTTGACATTTAGAAGAAAACTGGCAGGCTTATCTAGTTAATTTCCATAAGGAGCCCCGTAAGTGTAGAATATACAATATTCGCATTTGAATGGTACCAATGTGGCCCCATTCTGCATCTTCTCATTTTTGAATAACTAAAGGTTGGCCTGTAGGATTAATTTAGCTGCTGGCTGCATAATCTATGCAGCGTTCGAGAGGGAAATATTGAATGTAATCCTATAAATAAATCCCTGTATTTTGTGCTGAAAATTTACTTCTAAACATTAATGCCACGTTCTGCCTTTCCCTTAGTAGAAAGTGTTGGTCCAGGATGTTTGCAAATGATGATCCTATACCAAACGGGAATAAGGAGTACTTCCTCCTACTAGGGGTTATATACACCATATATGATATTTCTGGCTGCCGTACAGGTTTATACAAGTGCAAGTGTTTATACAAAAACACTATCTTTTTTTAATAGAAAATCTCTTCCAAACTAAATTCACAGAACATTTGTTAAATGCTTAGTAAAAAGGAAAAAAGGGAGGCATACCATCTGGAGAAGCTCAATTTCTGTTTGAAGAGCCTTGCAAACATTTTCCAAGTCATCGTCTTTGTAAATTTCTAATTCTTTCTTGAGCCTGTTTCAAGTAAAACAAAGCTGTCATAGCAGAGGACTGTCGGTTGTATTGTCCTTTCATTCAGATTTGGCCTCTGTCCTGTGGTTTGATAAATGAGGGCAGTTGCGTGATCAGGACTTAAGTTGCAAGTTTTGCGGTTCTGATAGAGCCATGCGTTCAATGTCCCTGGCAGTTGTGGTAGTGGTAAAGAGAACTTTAGAAAATGACAGGCTCAGAGTCGGAGGAAAATATATCTAGAATAAGTGCTGTAATAGACTAATGTGAATTATAGGGCTATAACTCTCTCTTTCTCACTGGTGGTGATATAAACCATGGGAGAATGATAGCCCCATAATTCAAAATTTGCCTTTATTTTAATACATGGATTTGAATCATTGATCCATGCCCTCCATAGACTCCTTTTACTTTTGTCTTCACAGTTGTTGCTGCTCTTTTTCTCACTGCAGTTCTCCTTTCTTCCTCTTCCTGCTCCCCCCCACCTCCCCTTACCAATAGCAGTAATCTAAGTGAGGGGCATTCAAGCTTCTTTGCAGCACGGGCCAATTTTAACATACTGATCCCTTCATAATGTGTCCTCTCCCATTTAGCAAGGTGGAAGAGTAAACATTGTGGCCACATTTTCTTCCATTTAAGATCACACGATATTCCCAAGAAACATTAATAGCATTTTAAAGTATCTTTAAATAAAAAAGCAAGCAAACATGTAGCTATTTTTCATATGTGTAAGGAAATAGAGGAGGCACCCCTCACCGACTCTCTTTCTGCCTATGGACCAGTTATAAGCACTCCGCAGAGCAAGCATGGCTACTAATTTAAATTGCCTTTACACTGAGAAAAAGGAAGGAAGAGACTTAGGTGTTCACAATGACTTGAGAGTGCAGATCTTATACAAAATAGGAGTGATCCCATAGATCAGTTACTAAGAAGCAAACAACAGGCAGCCCAATAGATAGAGCTTGTGACTGATTTAATCCTTGGCAAGGAAGCAGTTAATTGAGCAGCTTCTTGTCAAACACGGTTCTGAGTTCCTGCAGATCCCGAAACACAGGAAATGTCAGCTCCAAATATTATTATAGAATGGCTAGAAATGTTCAGCAAGATTGATTTCCCTAATACTGTCTCCAAACCTGGACTCGAGGTTCAAGGCAGAACAACAGATGGGCTGTTTATTAGTGACCTGGAATCTGGGCAGCCCTTACAGAAGCAAAGAGAAATTTGGGGAGAAGAGGCCTCTCTATAGAAAATAGATTCCAAAGGGGTATTTGTGGTTGGGAAATATGTAAGTCATGAGTCCTGCTAAAACTACCAGTCCAAACTATCATGCATCACCTGTCATATTTGTTTAGGTCAGGGGTGCCAAACACACCTGGTCTACCTGGGCTGCATCTGGGCTGGGGGCACTTCTTGGGAGCTAGATCTAGACCTGGTGTTAGGGAGCTGTAGTAGTTAATGTAGTTGCTGGTTGCTTGCTGCCACTGATGCGCATCCCCCAACATGGCTCTATATCTTGGATTTCAGTGGTGGATCCCACCTCTGTTTGTCCCACCTCTGAATTCCTGACCCCTCTAAGGAGCCTTGTGGGCCAGGTGACACAGATCCACAGGTCACGTGTTTGACATCCCTGGCTTACGTGGATGCTTACTAGGCTAAGAAAAAATTAACTTGAGAATTTTTAGTAGCCTGAAGTATGCAAGGCAACCAAACTGTACCATGATCCCTGTCATGGCTGCCAGCAGGTAGACAAGCAGAAGTGAAGTGCAAAGCTGGTGTAAGTCCATTCCCTACAAGCCAATTGCAAAAGCTCACTATAGATATTCTAGACCAAGGCTTTCCAAATTCTTATCCAGGAGCTAAAATTTCTATTTGCATCTTTCTCTTGGGTTGCATTTTGTGTACATGGATAAAATGGAAATAATTGATTCTTTATATAGAAAAAAATTAATATAAAGGTGTGGCATATGTAAAAAAAAAATCTATGTATTGAAAGAAGCTGAAATGTAGGCCTGCAAGTAAAATATTAAAACATGACAAATTAACAACTTTTCAACATGAAAATTGCAGATGACTCATCTATCACCTTCACAAGAGAATCAGTGTCAACTGACTCCTCAGTGAAGGGCGGTTGAAGAAAGAGAGTGAGGGACTCATCTCTGAGTGTACATGGATATCAGGATTTTATAAACTTCACTGTAGAAAAGACCTTTTCATATAGGTATGTGCTGCTAAACACTTACACAATCTTTAAACCAGGGTCCCTTAAATGTGGAAAACGGTTCTCTGCTACAAGTTAAAAGAAGTCCTCCCCTGTTTCCTGTCTACTAGGTGGGAATGGGTTGGCTTGTAGATCACATATCTCAAGTTGTATGTTGGAAAATGGGTTTTCAACTGCAGCTCTGAGTGGGTTGTTGAAAAGCATCAGTTATCTTTTCAGGAACTAAAATTTGGTAAAGTAGTTGGGAAGGAATTTGACTGTGTTCTCTACATTAGAAGAGAATTCTGAAAAGTTTATACCTTGAGCATTTTCTGTTTCTTTCTCCAACTTTGCAAGATGGGAAATGTATAATATTACTCTTTTCTTGCCTAATAAAAAAACTTTTGGATCAACAAGATTGACATCTAATAAAAGATACCACCTCTACTACGAATCCTGATTGCCTTTTCCTCTAGACCAATACGCCTACAACCTGGATACCTGACACTCTTTTCAAGAGCATCTTGGAACAGCTTAAGCTTGTTATGAAGCCAGTTCACGCATCCAGTGAGGTCTGATATTGTCTGATTCTTAGTCTGCAATTTTGTATTTAGTTCGCATGAGTGAGTGGTAGTATCTGTCAAGAAGGCTAATTTGGATAGAAACGCTGGGGACAACATCTCTCTTCATGCTTTGCAGTGTCAGCTTTTGCTTGTCCTTTTAGGAACATCAGAATTTCCTTTTTGGGAGCAAAAAACTTGGAAAACCTTAGCCAATCAATGTATACTGAAGAGGCAAATCTCCATATACAGAATGCATTTCTTCCACAAATGAGCAGAATTTTCTGTGTAACAAAGTTTATTCCCACTATGAATGAGATTGAAGGTGGTTGTGAAGGTTGCCAAAGCCTCAGCATGTTTCACCCATTTCCCACACCAAAGATTCTTGGTGATTTACACAGTGAATCAGGGGGCAAGTGATATGCCAGGCTTTTTCAGAAGATTTGATAATCCAACAGACTATAGCCCTAACACTGTCCGTGGCATTTGTTAAAACCTCTGTGCTCCTTCTTTTCTGAAGAGCTTCTATTCTGCTCATAGTAGTGTGTAAAAAACAAACAAACCAGACATAGCAATTCCTCTTTTACTGAGAAAACTTCTTCTAGAGTTCTGATAAATATGAGAAGCTGACGTATCAATTTGGTCAATGCTTTTGTTTAACGATCCCAAAAAATAGCAGCACCTTTTGACACCGTGCAATAACTTTTCTCATTACCGATTGCTCATATCTTCAGTTCTCCTGGTTACTCTCTGATGGGAGTGTGTGAAACTGTTTTAAAGATTTTTCACCATCTTCTCATCACAAAATGCCTTGGCTGTTGCAGTTGTGCATTTTCATATTGGACCCTGGTCACCGTGTGGTTACGTTGCTTTGGCTAAGTGCAAAGCCACTCCATGAGAAGTGGCAACACCTTGATAATTATTCCTTTTTACCTGTAGTACAGAGTCCAGTTTGTGTTTTAAATTGTCTTTTCAGGTTTTTCCCCACTTCCCAGTGTTCTTAAAAACTTGTATTTTCATTCTTCCTTCTTTGATGCACTCTTCTCCATTGTTACTAACCCTCCCAATAGAAACAAACAAAAACTTGGAAAAAGGTTTTTTTGAGCCCTCAATACTATGTTCTGTGCTATGAAGCGCATGGTAGATTATCAAGAGCACAAAGCATGTGCAAATGTGACCATTATGGATATTAGAAGAAATAAGGAAATTAACCCTTGTTTATAGATGACATTTCTTTAGGCCAGCCTAACATGGGCAGAGCATCTCTTTCACAGACTAGTAGTGCTCACCATAGAAATGGCTTTGGTAAAAACGAAAGAAAAGCAATGAGAAGTTAATGTAGTAAAAACAACTTATCTGGGGCACAGAATGGTTAGATTTGTCATAGCCTAAGACAGAGAGTAAAGATTGTTTATGTCTATTCATGTTGCCAGTGGAGACAAGTCTCAGAAATGGGAGAAATTGGTGCCATATATGGAATGAAAAGATATACTCTGTTTAGAGGAAGATGGAAAATTCATCTGTTCACAGAAACATTTCCCTCTGTGAACATACTATATACCTGTGATATGACAAATGGGAGCTTTAAATTATGCTCTATGAGGCAATGTGCATGGTGCTGTAATGAAATGTAACATGCTGGTTCACAGACTCTTTTCATAAAACAGAGGAAATAATTTCCAAGTCTAAGATTAGATTCAGATCTTAGTTATTCTGATTTAAATCAGAATAACTTGTTTTGGCTCTTAATGTCTTACTCTGTGGGTGTGTCTACACATGCAATTAATGTGAAACAATAAACTCTGAAGCAGTTTGAGGTGGAGTAAACTGCTCCTGGGTGCAACGTCTACATGTGTGCCTGGGGCATCAGCAATTTAAGCTGGGGTGGAGCAAGCCTGGGCTGGCGCGGGGGGGGGGTCAGCCCTGGGCTCTGAGTGGCAGCGTCAGGCAGTGGAGGGGCTGGCTGGGGCACAGTGTCACAAGTGAGGAGCCTTGTGGCTAGGCAGCAGGCAGGAGTCTGGCCTCCTGTTGCTTGGGCTGTCTGGGCGTAATTTGCACTTGTAGTCAGCAACTACATGTGCATTTCAGTGCAGTAATTTATTCCGCCATAAAATAGTACCGTCCCTGACAGTGGAGTTAATTAGTTTCCTGCGCCCTAATGCACACATGTAGACAGTGATGCTTTACTGTAGAGCTAATTAGTCTACTCTGCAGTAAAGCTCATGTGCATTTGTTTTCCTTGATAGCCT